AGCCCGGTTCCCGGAATGATCCATTGTAAACTACCTAACTCAGGATAAGATCTCAGATAGTTACCAGGTAACGAGAGTTGGCGTATTGGCGGGAATATAGCGAGCGAGAAACATATTACCAGAGCGTATCATATGATATTTGGTAAGTTAGTACAATTAGAGGCGTTGAATTGTATTAGTAGTATTAGTATTGAGTGATAATACTCGGAAATCACATCACTGGCGCTTGGCGAGCAAGGTTTCCTGTGTTTAAAAGACGAATTTATCGAGACACAGAAGTGAGTACGTCACGTGTAATTGCGAAGTTCATATTGCTATATTTGGTATATTATGAAGTGTTTGAACACGGAGATAATATAAGCATAAAAACTTGCGTTAATTACAGTGTTTACAAATTTACTTTCGAAAATTGTTTCACGTTTTGCAAAAATTTGCCGTTTTATGTAGAAATTAGACAAATTAGCCGTTATCAGAGCAATTTGGAAAAAATTAGCCACTTTCGGAAAAATTAGCCGTTTTTTGTGTGGTTAGCCACATAGCACATACACATTAATTTTTTTTTTCTGGTTCAGCAACCAGTGATTAATTTGAATTGTATTTGTGTTATAATAACATAATGGCAGACTTAGCTTTTCAGAAGGAGCGTACAAAGATTAATAGCTGTACTTATGAAGAATTATTATTGTTACCTGGTGTTGGAAATGTCACAGCTGACAAGATTATCTCTTTGAGAGAGACATATGGTAATATTCAGTTTGAGCATCTTTCTGAAATACCAAGACTACGACTTACTGAAACTTTGATGGATTTGATAGATTTTTCACCAGTTACACAGCAACAAGAATACAAATCATGGACTCAGTCAAGTTATGATTTACAAGATTATGTTGATTATGGTGAAGTTAAAACATCTGGATTTCATTCGGAATATGCAAGACGAGAAGCAGAAATCAATGACTTTTCAGATTCTGACACACCTTCTGATGAATGTTTGCTTAAACCTGAGCCTGAGGAAGTCAAACGTGAGTTATCACGTCCCAGTTCAGCGATGAGCAAGCCTTTAAATTACACTTTGCAGTATGGGGACCACCAGTATTCAACAAAATTGTCAAGACCTGATGAAAGAAAACCATTACTACAAACCAAGTATGATGAGCAGGATAAAGTTCAAGATTTTTCAATTGATCGACAGTTTAAGCCAGACAAAATTCATAGAACAGATGAATTAGGGTACACGAAACCAAGTATCAGATTAAATGTTGAGGAAAACATTGAAAAACGTGATTATTCACGTAACCAAAATACACAGCAGCAGACATCACAATTGGGATGGCAGCAAGGTCCCAATGAGCACATTGAAAAACGTGATTATTCACGTAATCAAAATACACAACAGCAGACAAAACAATTGGGATGGCAACAAGGGCCCAACGAGCACGAACCTAGATTAGAAAGGCCAGTTCCAGTCCCAAGACGTCGTCAACAGGTAGAATCACATATACCTTCACCAGAAATCCGACGCAGAATACCTTCACCTGATATCCGTCGCAGAATACCTTCACCAGAAATATTTAGGGAACCAGTATATTCCTTGAGAACACCAAATCCAACATACTCTTCTACAATAAACAGAAATATGTACCCTCCAAGACCATATTTAAGTTATGGGGAGTCGCCGCAATTAATGCCTCCAGCAAAGCCAAAATCAAAGAACCTAGAAATACCTAAAGGACTGAAGTATGATGGTTCCTCAAGTTGGAAAACTTTTTACACCAAGTTTCATAGGTATGCTGATCGTTTATCGTGGACTACCACGGAACGAAAAGACCAACTGTGTTGGTGTTTACATGGTAAAGCAGGTGATTACTATGCACATTTACTGGATAGAGACCAAGGTGTGGATTACTTTGAATTAATTCACAAATTAGAGAAACGGTTCAATTTTCAAGACTTACCAGAGACCTTGCAAGTTCAGGTCATGAGTGCACGACAAAATACAAATGAGAAATTGGAAGATTGGGCAGACCGAGTTCTCTCGTTAGCCTGTAAAGCATTCCGAAATCTTCCCGACAGTTATATGTATACACAAGCTATCTGGAAAATATGCCAGGGATGCTCAGATAAAGAAGCTGGTCAACATGGAGCCACCGCCAGACCAACATCTGTTGAAGCAGCAATTGACCAGATAAAATAGTTCCAACATAACCACACAGCTATATTTGGTAAACCAACCGGTAGACGTGACCCGACACCAAGTCAGGATGTACCAAGCTATGAATATGATAGCGACCTAGCTGTTCACGCTATGGGTAAGACGGACACAATGTCCGAATTGTCTAAACAAATGGAAACATTGCTAGAGAAGATGACTGCTATGGAAGCATTTCATAAGCAGGAAATTGGAGACATTAAACAGCAGCTTCAAAAACAACAGCAGGCAAAACAGTTTCCTGTTCAAAATGAAGTCCAGCCAGCAACCCAACCATTCAGCCAACAAAATCAAGGTAATCGCCAACAATGGCGTAACAGGGATAATAGGCAAGATAATCAGCGACAATCACCATTTAAAAGGCGCTGGGGACCTATACCACCTGAAAAATTAGCAAATATGGCTTGCTATTTCTGTCACCAGTTTGGCCATATACAACGGGACTGTCCTGACTTGCATTCATCAACAGGAAAAAATTACACAGACCATTTAAACCAGAAAGAGTCGGGCTAAAGGGCGGAACCCTGACTCAGACCACACCTAACCGCCTAACGTTGAACACTATTTCAAACGAAAGAAACAAGACACCTGTTTCGGGGATTACCCCGTTGAAAACATGTGATATGTCAACATCCACAGATACTCTGTCTAATTCATCATTGCACACAACGGAGCCTGATAATGATTTACAGAAAGTAATTGAGCTTCAGTTGCAAGATCCCGTACACTTAGGAGGAACTATTTGCCAGTTAGGCTCAGCATCTATGCTTCGATTCACTTTTAAAGTGCATGGACAGCCTGTAATTTCGGTAGTAGATACCGCAGCAGAAGTTACAATAATTTCTGACATAGTTTATGAATCTCTTAGCAAAAAACCACCCATGAAAAGAAAAGCAACAATGCATGCAGCAGGGCGTGGTATGCACATGGATGCGTTTGTAGTGGGACCAGTTGAATTACAAATTGGTGAAAGAACATATCGGACAGATATTTATGTTGCGCCTATTGATAATGACATGCTATTAGGACTTGATTTTCTAGTCAAAGCAAAAGTAATTTTAGACTGCAGAAAATTAATCTTCTTCATCAATGGAGAGGCACTACCTATGGTACATGGATATATTGGACTGGTACCGCCTGTGAACGTTATAGCAAGAGTAGCTAAAATAACCGTTCCATATAGAACAGTCATACCTCCTAATTCAGTTGTACAATTAGAGTCAGATTTGTCAGCGGAATTAACTGATTTTATAGTTGAACCTAATAAAGAGATAGATTTGTTAATCCCACGTGGTTATTACAATGCTAGTTCTTTGCCATGTGTCAGTTTACTTAATGTAACGAACAACAAGATAGTTTTGCAAAAGGGAACTCTTTTAGGCGAAGCAATTGAAGCTGACGTTGTTGAAACGGGGCCAGCCCCGTCAGTAGCAACAACTGGAATAGCCAGAGATAACAATACACTACCGGAACAGTTGCAGAACATATTGGATAAATCCAGTACACTTGCTGAAGACCAAAAGTCCAAAGTTGCAAATTTACTTCATGAATTTGCTGATGTTTTTGCACTAGATGATTTTGACTTGGGAACATTTAACCACATTGAACACGAGATTGATACAGGTGATGCGCGCCCTATCAAACAACGAATAAGACGAACACCCATGTGTTTTGCACACGAAGAAGAAAACCATTTAAAGAAAATGTTAGATGCAGGTATCATAGAACCATCTATGTCAGAATGGGCATCTGCCCCAGTACTTGTGCGCAAGCGCGATGGCAACGTGCGCTGGTGCATTGATTACCGGAAGTTGAATTCCGTGACGAAAAAAGATGTCTATCCGCTTCCTTTGATAGACGAATGTTTGGATACTTTGGCGGAAAACGAATGGTTTTCAAAATTGGATGCAAATAGTGCGTATTATCAGATAAAAGTGAAGGACTCAGACAAAGAAAAGACCGCTTTCATCACTAAATATGGATTATTCCACTTTGTCCGAATGAGTTTTGGCCTTTGCAACGCCCCTGGAACATATTCACGAGTAATGAATCTCGTTCTCAGAGGTTTAACATGGAATGTTGTACTCGCCTTCCTGGACGATATTCTAGTAATGGGAAAGACATTTGAAGACCATTTACAGAATTTAAGATCAGTTTTTGAACGTTTCAGAGAGTATGGGCTAAAGTTGAAACCTAGGAAATGTGACTTCTTTAAAAAGGAAATTGACTTTTTAGGCAGAACAATCAATAGAGATGGTATGGCAATTGGCAGGGAATATGTTGAAGTTGTTAAAAACTGGAAAGAACCTACAACAACAAGAGAGGTTGAACAATTTCTTGGCTTTGCTAATTATCATAGAACTTTCATTAAGAATTTTGCGGATTTATCCAACCCTTTGTACCAATTGACCGGTAAGAAACCGTACAAATGGGGAGATTCAGTGCAAGAGGCTTTTGACAAACTTGTAGAGGCATTGACAACAACTCCGTTATTGGCATTACCCAACAATAAAGATCCGTTTATTTTGGACACAGATGCTTCCAATTTCGCAATTGGCGCAGAATTAATACAAGTACAAGATGGTGTAGAGCGTCCCGTTGCCTACGGAAGTTTTTCATTAACCCATGAGCAAAAACGATACTGCACGACACGGAAAGAATTGCTTGCAGTAGTGAAATTCACCAGACATTACAGACATAACCTTTTAGGACGAGAGTTTATAGTCCGTACAGACCATAGTAGTTTAACATGGTTATTGCAATTTAAAGAGCCACAAGGACAACTAGCTCGATGGTTAGAGGAGCTAAACCAGTATCACATGACAGTAAAGCACAGGCCAGGTAAAAGACACCAAAATGCGGACGCATTATCACGTCTGCCAGATTTAGCCTGTTCACAGATCTAGAATAGATTAGCAGCTGGGAACGTGCTAAAACACAATCTACCCTGTGAAGCATGCGATTAAAGTACTCGTGCTCACCAAAGTTGGCTTGGTTTTCAAGAAGACGTAGATAACGTTATTCCTTTAGCTTCACATCAAGACTGTAAAACTTTTGAGCAAACACACAATACAGGACCACTTACAGTACTACCGAGTTCTTTGATTTCTGAGAACGATTTACTGAAACAGGACAATGCACAACATACAAATGTGATTATAAAGGACAATGCTAGACCAGATAGTTCTATACTAGTATCCCAAGACGGGGACCAGAACGTGACAAGTCACGTGAATGAGAATTAAGGTACATCTCCGGTCCAGCCACAAGTATTTGACAGTACCAATCAAGATACAGTAAGCCAGAATCAAAATGTTTGTCACAGTTCAGTGGAAATAGTCACTACACCACTTGGTATGTCAGTTTACGCGACATATTTGGACCATCCAAATGTAAATGCCATTACTGAGACCGGTATAGAAGCTAGTACTTATTCACCAGAGCAATTACGAGATTATCAGTCTAAAGACCCAGACTTGGAGTTAATACTGGTATGGGACAAAACAGAGCCATCAGAGGCTACAATATTCAGATGCAGTCCAATAGCTAAGAAATATTGGATAAACAAAGATATGTTCTATTTAGATGATAATGGAATATTGAGAAATTTGGACAAGAAAGACAGAACACCAAGACTTGTGGTACCAAGAGATCTTGTTGAACAAGTGATATCATTATGTCATGATATTCCTGCTGCAGGTCACCAAGGTATGAATAGGACCACATTAAGAATAAAGGCAAAATATCAATGGTATGGTATGACACAACGAATTAGAGACATTGTCAAAACATGTAGTACATGCAATTTACACAAGAAGCCAAACAGGAAGGCTAAATGTCCGCTTACCCAGTTTCATGCAGGTGCACCAATGGAGCGTGTCCATTTAGATTTTCTAGGACCACTGCCAGAGACGAAATTTGGGAATGCACATGTAATAGTTATGGTTGATCAGTTTTCCAAATGGATGGAATGTATTCCGTTACCAGCACAAACTGCAGAACATACGGCAAAAGCTGCTGTGAACGAGTTTTTCTCTCGTTTTGGATTCCCATTTCAGGTTTTTACAGACCAAGGACGCAATTTTGAAAGCAAGCTTTTCAAATCCATCTGTGAAATCTTGCAAATGCACAAAGCAAGAACTACTCCGTACAGACCGTCCTCAAACGGACAAGCAGAACGTTGCAACAGAACCTTAGTGGACGCCGTCCGTTGCTTCGTTTCTAAACAACAGAACAATTGGGATGAACACTTGGCACAATTGGCAGGAGCTGTTCGATCGTCAGTTAACAGAAGTACTGGTTTTACGCCAAACATGCTGATGCTTGGGAGAGAGGTTAACCAGCCTGTTGATTTATTGTACAGCGTACCTGGTGCTAAAACAGACGAGTCACATGATGAGTATGTGATAAGACTCAGAGATGCCATAACATCTGCACATGAAATAGCGCGCAACACGCTAAAAACTACACAGAATACCGTGAAACGTGATTATGATGTACGTATTCTGGAGAGAGAATACAAAATAGGAGATTTAGTTTATGTTTTAGACACGGCAAAAATTAAAGGTAGAGCGAAGAAATTGGACCCACCTTGGAAAGGTCCAGGACTTGTATGTGCCAAATTATCTTCGTATGTGTACAAGATAAAATTACAAAAAACTGTACTGACAATAAATCATGACCGTTTAAAGCCATGTAAAGACAGAGAAGTACCACCCTGGTTAAAACAGTGCCAGCACCGGTTACAGGACGGTGAAGATGTGACCAAGGCGACTAACCCAGACTTACACTGTTTGTGCAGAAAACAAGATGATGGACTGTTTATGATACAGTGTGATTTTTGCGATGAGTGGTACCATGGAGCTTGTATAGATTTGACACCAGCACTGGCAGACACTATGGTAAAGTTTAGATGTCCACGGTGCCAGGACTCTGGCACCGCAAGGTAAATTTATATTTTAAGGCATTATACAAGTAGTATGAATATAGAGCAGATTCGTGTGTACATAGAGAATACAGAAAATCAGTTGTAAATTTTGATTGGAAATTACATCAAGAGTGAATAGATTGTGTGTAATATATATATATCAAGGAATGATATGTCAGTTTAAAATAACTCCGCAGAGCGACAACGGAGCAATTGTGGAATTTTGAAATATATGTATGTTGTTAATATGTCAACATTGTAATATATATAACTATATATATGGAGATTTATTTGTATCCCCGTGGTGCGACCAGACGGGGTGGACTAAATGAAGATAGTGAATATTCGAATAGGAAGTAAACTCACTCCTTTCAAAGTGGGGGGAGTGTTGTGTAATATGGTATAATGGACGTGACATTACTATGTAGACAGTACGGTAGTTAGATATACCGCGTAGCCCGGTTCCCGGAATGATCCATTGTAAACTACCTTACTCAGGATAAGATCTCAGATAGTTACCAGGTAACGAGAGTTGGCGTATTGGCGGGAATATAGCGAGCGAGAAACATATTACCAGAGCGTATCATATGATATTTGGTAAGTTAGTACAATTAGAGGCGTTGAATTGTATTAGTAGTATTAGTATTGAGTGATAATACTCGGAAATCACATCATCAGAATAAAGCTTTCCACGCTTTTTGGAATCATTTGTGACAAAATCGGCCATGCAATGAACCCTCGTTCTCTACTTTCTTAGATATACCTTTAGACAACACACCATTCTCCTTTTTCAGAATAGTGCTCTTTCTATCGGATTGTTTGTCATACACATGCATTGTTTGAACTAACATCCACATAGTAATCTATAAATAATTATGATACTGCCAACATTTAGCTATGATTTATCATAAGAACTATATTTATTGATAACAGTAATAGAGATGCAATATACCAAAGGGACATTTTAACTCATAAGTCAAAAATAAACTGACAACGCCATGGCGAAAAAAAAAAGATCAACAGACAAACAACAGTACACAAAACACAAAACACAAAACACAACATAGAAAATTAAAGACTGAACAAAACGAACCCCACCAAATATGTCGTTTGCCATACTCTGTAAAAGAGAAAAACAATTTGGCTACTTCTTGTACTAGGTTTTGTCCATAACAATTCATACAAAATTCAACATTTTTTACATCTAATTTTGTTTTTCTCTTACCAACCATCCTATGAAAAAGAAGTAAATTTAAAAGATTTAATAAATAAATGTTGTGGTTTTTTGTTGTTTTTCTCTGTAACGCGTTTGCTTATTTCTTACCAATTATATTCGGATACAAACATAAGTTTTCCTTAATTGCCGTCTTTGTTTTTTGATATGTGACCTTTAACCTTTTTTAAAAAGACAAGAAGCAGCACAAGAAAAATATAGAAAATAGTATATTAAAATATGCCACTTGTAAATTTTTAAAATGTGGTCTCGGAAGAAAACAGGTATAATGTGTTTGCCAATGACTTAGCTTGGTCCCAAAACTTTCTTTCATTTCACATTTTATTCAAATTGGTATTTAAAAAACACCTAGATTAATTCATACATTTTTATACTTATTTGTTTAGGGGCCAGCTGAAGGACGCCTCCGGGTGCGGGAGTTTCTCGCTGCATTGAAGACCCAAATATATTTTACATAGTATGAATGTACACCTATGCGTTAGAACTATTTTGTTTTAAATATGTACTATTTTCCAGTATGTTCTTTCTGACCCAGCCCGGTTAGGTGGTGATACATCTTACAAAGTCTACCAACATTATTTCAGTTTGCAACGAATTACGCTCATTACTGCATTTAAACCGCTTTTCCTTTGCTTTATGTGTGTTGTTTTGATGTGCATGTACTAATTTGTATCATGGATGGATACCCCAATATCCTTTGTTTTTCTATTAAACCTGTATTACACTGATACATGTTTGCATCATGAAGTCAATCAGTTAATCAAAAAACAAATGATGATGATTTTTAAGTCGTGCCATACCATCAAATGTGACCCGTCGTTTCGATAGTTAATGAACTTGTCTATTGTTTATGTAGTACTCCTTCTAACAAACAATTGGATATAATATGAGAAAGTTTATTACAAAACAAATGATTTCAACTCCCGAGCAAAGATATGACCATTTAAGCAATTACGTATCTAAAATTGAGAATGGAAATGAGGAATGTGTCAAAGAGACAACAACCCGACCATAGAGCAGACAACAGCCGAAGGCTACCAATGGGTCTTCAATGCAGCGAGAAACTCCCGCATCCGTACGCGTCCTTTAGCGGGCCCCTAAACAAATATGTATACTAGTTCAGTGATAATGGACGTCATACTAAACACCAAATTATACACAAGAAACTAAAATTAAAATTGATACAAGACTAACAAAGGCCTGAGGCTCCTGACTTTGGACAGGCGCAAAAATACGGCGGGGTTAAACATGTTTTTTGAGACCTCAACCCTCCCCCTATACCTCTAGCCAATGTATAAAAAACAAACGTACAAGTTTATACTTATCTGTATGGGCCGAAAGGAGAGATTTAATGATGCCACTTTTTCAAACAGTAACACCTTTACCCAAAACATATTTACTACAAAATATATCTTTCAAAGACGGTAATTTGTTTAAAATACCTTTTAGATAAATCTGTTGCTCATATATATATTTATCCAAAAACTATTCACGGAATGCCTGAATCAGTTATAGGGTACAACTGTCCAAACTGTTATGAGGCTAGACCTCTCAATATAAGAGAGTCGAAGGATACCAAAGTGACATTCAAATAAGTCGAAAATAAACTGAAAACGCCATGGCTAAAAACAAAAAAGACAAACAGCACATAAAACAACATTGAAAACCATAGACTTAGCAAAATGAACCCCATCAAATACTGGGGGTGATTTCAGGTGCTCCGGAAGGGTAAGCAGATCCTAAGTTCTATGCAAAAATGTTGTGCTGAGATATATTCAACCAGTGGTGTCAATCGGATGTGGATTCTCAAAAACTCTAAAGATCTACTGCTAAATCTCAGATCACAATCTATGCAATTTTGCAGCAACATTAAAACCTTTGACTTTTCTACGCTTTACACTACTATTCCCCATGCTTTATTGAAAGTTCGACTTCACAATCTCATTAAACAGAGCTTTTCTATAAAAATGGGAATCGTAGATATTAATGTCTGTTTTGGGTTATAATAATTCTTATTTTGTGAAGAACCACACTGGTTCTATCAGAAAATACAGTGAAGATGATATTATCAAAATGCTGGACTTTTTAATCGACAATATATTTGTTGAGTTTAAAGGATTGATATTTCAACAGACAGTTGGTATTCCAATGGGTTCTAATTGTGCACCCCTTCTGACCGAATTGTTTTTGTACTCGTATGAAGCAGAATTCATTCAGAACCTTCTAAAAGATAAGAAGAAAAAGCACCTTACAAAATTCTTTAATTTTACTTTCAGAAATATTGATAATGTCCTATCACTGAATAACCCATATTTCAGTCAGTACTTGCATCTCATATATCCCAGGGAACTTGAAATTAAGGATACTATTGATACAAAAGGACTCTTTCATACCTTGATCTTTTCCTCAATATTGACACAGATGGACGACTTCACACTAAAGTCTATGACAAACGGGATGATTTCAACTTCCCAATTATC